CATGCAAACAGCGAGACCGACGGTGAGTATACGCACTGCTGAGCAGACTATTGCAACATCGGTGTCCAAGGAACAAGATTTGACGACATTGACAATGTCCAAAGGGAATTTTCCAACACTAGTTCCTTGGGTGAGTCAGTGACGGCGTACCAAATATGGCGGAGGTTGATCACACATACCGCCGAATTTCAAGACATTAACTGGACGAGACCTTGGTGTGCGGGTGCCATTGACCCCGTTGACGAGCGGCACCTCGGCGCGCACACCGTTAGAGAGAGAGGGCGTGGTCATTGTGAGGAGGGTGACTGTGGCAAGCAATGACTGAGAAACATAATACCGTCACTGAGACATACGAGAGACAGCGGAAGGAGTGTGGTAGCTAGTCAACAAACGAAAGTAAATATCATTCGAGAACGAGGGCTGTTTTAGAGGGAGAGCAGCAAGTTAGTGACTGGCATTGTATCCCACTGCCACAGCCGGAGACGATTCTGGGCCCGATTTTCGAAAAAGTCTCTCAGTTAGCACGACAGTCGGGTCAGTCATAATACTCGATGCGGCAGAATTTTTGAAAATTCTGGAGGGGTCCTCGAGGCGGTGAGGTGAGCCCACTGCGCTCGGCTACAAGTTCGGCGAATAATGTGGCGGCCAGAACCGTGGCGTCATTTCGTGTGTGGTTACCAGATTTAGTCAGGTACATTAGTTACTCAGTAGACACCTACTGGTAGGCACTATTCAGGGTACCTGTACTTGTACCTACAGGTACCCTCTACATGTGATGGCCTAGGTCTACTGGATGTTGTCATTTTAACGGCCTTGATCCCATCCTTGGTGTCCTCCAATTCAACCTGCCAGCACACCTTCTTGCTCGCCTAGAATGCAACCCAAGCAGCCAGACAAGGCTGAGTGAATCACCCCACTGATCTTGGGCGGCCGTGGCAGCCTTTAATCTCAGCCTGTCACCGTCAGCGCTTCGTTTCCAGGAATCAGGTAACGCCAAACAAAGACTGGGGGAATTAGTTCTTGCTGACATGGAAAATTAAAGATAGAGTGACATTCCACGCCTATGTTATGCACGCCCTTAGTGTTCCTCTTGCGCTTCCACCCGAGAATCCTCCTTAAACTCCCCTTGGCGATCAACGCGGCCCTCCCAATACCCCATTCGCCCACTTGTTCAGCCTGCTCGGACATTCCTCGTCCGCATACGAGTACACAACACACCCTAATTAAGCACTGCCACACGGAGTTGAGTTGAGGCGGAAAAGCCACTCTGTTGTCGTCTGTTATTCGTTGTCCCTCTATGCGTTCGCTGCACTTCATCACTTCTGTTGAAAAAGATAAGGTTGTTAGTGGACAGCAGGTAGCAGCCAGTGACAGGCACCGTTGAAGTGACCGATTGGGCTCGCCCGCAGCCTGATATCCCATCCCACACAAGATGGAATCTTGTTAAGCCTCTCGCGCCATCTCTCATTCTATCATATCCCATGGGTCATGATGGCCACCGAAAATCACGAACAATATCTAACTTGCCCCTTTTGCCGCTTCGGCACCCATGATTTTGACGCCCTCGAAAGGCACGTGCAACATCGGCATGGCGGCCAGCAGCCTGACCGTCAGCAACCCTACAATGCCGCGCCTCAGCTGAGCGATGCTGATCTGGCTCAACTTCTTGCCTTTGAGGAAGCAGGCTTGCCTGCCGAACTAGCCCTACCAGACCGTCCCAATGTTCCTGCCCGTGATGAAAATGGGATGCTGGAAAGTGCAACGACTCCACCACAGCTCCCATCAATTTCTCGAACTGGAAAGGAAGAATCATGGGTACAATGTGTCTGTGGCGAACGCGTACATTTTCTCGAGCTCGATGCCCATTCCGACATGCATGCTCAAGAGAATATTTCCATGGATGAGGCCGATATACCTAGCAAAGACGTTGAGCTTTCGACCCTTCGGTCAACTGCCCAACGTCCCTTGGTCGATGTCTCCAACTCGTTCAGCACTCATATCCCAAATTCTCTTCGAAACTATGGCCAACTTCCGGACAAACCGTCCCCTCCTCCTTCTCGCAGCGAAAAGAGACGCGGTCCATCTCTCAAGGATATCTTCCTCGGCACTCCCGCGTCTCCTAAGAGGAAATCGGCTCTTTCGGCCGTCTCTTCGAAACTTGGGAAGACAAAACGGCTTGGAGTGAGTGTGGACCAAATCTAACGTTGAATAGTAAGCTAATTGTTTGCAGCGGTCGGAACTCGGTCCCTATGCTCATGAGCAGCAGATGCCAGGCTGGCTGCGCCGCATGCTCGAGGAGGGCGCCAAAGTCACGATCACTAACAGGATCGGCCCCGACGGCACGTTGATCAAGGTCGAAACCATTGCCAATGAGACGCCCAATCTCGTACCTGTGCTCTCTCGGCTGTCTCAGCTGGACAGAACGGTCGAACGTGCATTCTATTGCAGTCCTCAAGTTCTCCATGTGTGCAAAATGCCAAGGGAAGGTGGCTTTTGCGGCTATCGCAATATTCAGATGCTGGTGTCCTACATCCAGGGTGCGGATGCTAATGGCGCAGAGAACTTCAGGGGAAGACTGCCATCTATACTGAAGGTTCAAGACATGATCGAAAACGCTTGGGACCTGGGCTTCAACTCTAGTGGACGTGTGGAAACCGGCGGCATCAGATTCACCCGCAAATACATTGGCACACCGGAGGCGCAAGCATTGTTCATGAGTCTCGATGTACCATGCGAGGCAACCGCGTACACCACTACAAAAGAGGTCGAGGGCTTCGAAACAATGCTTCTCGCTGTCTGCGAGTATTTCGACGACGACTCGACCAAAGCCAGCGTTGACAAAGTAGTTATTACGGACAAGCCGCCGATCTACTTTCAACATCATGGCCATTCCATGACCATCGTGGGGGTCGAGCAAAGGTCGAATGGTGTTGTCAACTTGGTCGTTTTCGATCCCATGTTCAACCCAAGCCCCGCACTCAAGAAACTCGCCTTTTCACGCAACACGACGTTCCGGTGCGCTGAGCCTGAAAAGCTCTTGAAAGCTCACCGAAGGGGCGAGAGATACCTGGAGAAGTATAAGGACTTTGAACTCTTGAAGTTGAAAACAAGGCAGTCATAACATGCGGGGAACATCACACACGGACTATCATTACCGAAGGGCACGGAAGGCGAGCATTGTTAAACTCATTCATTGCGGCTTGGACATCTCCTATGAGGGCTTCTTTTGATATTGCATTGCAACTGGGACGACGGAGGAGTTTGTTAGAACAAATGACTACTTCGAAGGCTGACTGGTAGCATGGATGGAATAGGTATGACACGGTCGGGGCATCTCTAGAGGCCTATTGATAGGCTTCTTCAGCAAATTGGTATGAGCGTTCTGGTTTGTATGCTGTTGTTGCTCATTACTTGTTCTCAGACCAAATATTTGTTGATGGTGGAAGCTCAGAGTTCGATTTGCCTGGCTAGCTGTGGTTAGGATGTAGCCTCGTAGCCTTGGGGCCGCGCAGCCTTGCGCAGTTTGAGTCATTTCAAATTCTCGCTTTTGCTATCAACAGTGTCGAATAGATGTGACACAAGATATACCGAAATACAACCCGCTGCTCCCTACAACATACATCTACAGTCTAGGAAATCAAGTCAAGCAAAGTGGACAGGTCTTATTGGGTTCGTTTTGAACACAGGCACTCACATTTGACCCGCCGGTGAACACCTTGCGCTCGTCCCTAGCATATGTTTTTTCTTTTTTTCCTTTGACTGGCACAGAAAATTATACCACTACCAAATCACCTAGACCCTTCCACAAAGGATACCCCCCATCTCCCACCCTCCTATCTCTTCTCTTCGCAAAAGCAAAGACAGAAAATGTCTCTGGCACCAGCGTCCCAGGACCCGCAACCGGTACACCAACGGCCCAAGGTTCTGAACTTCATCACCGGCAACGCCAACAAGCTGGCCGAAGTCCGCGTGATCCTTAGCGACGTAGCCGGTCTAGACCTGCAGAGCCGCAATGTCGAGGGCGCCGAGATCCAGGGTACCATTGAGGAGGTCGCGAGGGACAAGGCCTCGAGGGCCGCAAGGGCGGTGAGTGTCTTCTCATTAATAATTATAGTACACTTAATGGATGGAATATTCTACATTGGATGTTGTGTCTGTCAAAGGTATATGCTAAAAAACCGTGCGCTGGCTAGGTGAACGGCCCAGTCCTCACGGAAGACACGGCGCTGGAGTTTCAGGCCCTCAAAGGGTTACCCGGGCCTTATATGTGAGCTCACACTCCCCTGAAACGTGCCATTGAACAGAATCCCCAGACGAACCAGTCACCGTCCTCTTCATCACCCCTGCTCCTGCATAGAGCATTGTTACCTTCTTCAGCAACGACTGACTCTGTACCTCCTCCACCATAGCAAGTACTTCCTTCAGGCCCTCGGTCACGACGGTCTCAACAAGATGCTCGCCGCATACGAAGACAAGACCGCCTTCGCGGTGTGTACGTTTGCGTACTGTGCAGGACCTGGCTATGAGCCGATTCTGTTCCAGGGCCGGTGTCAGGGAAAGATCGTGCCAGCCAGAGGGCCTCCAATTTTTGGTATGTGAACTCCCCCTTGCGAAAATGGTTCCATGCGAAGCCTGGGTGCAATTTGCAGTGCGTAATTTCTGACCGCGAACTCCAATAGGCTGGGATGCCGTCTTCGAGTTCGAGGATGGTCAGACATACGCCGAGATGGAGAAGGAGAAGAAAGTATGTACTCCTTCGACCTCGTCCCCTCTTGTCCTTGTAATGGGCGACATGGCTAACCACATTCCTGGCGTAGAACTTGATCTCACATCGAGGCAAGGCTCTGGCCAAGCTGAAAGCATGGCTGGCTGGGGGTGAGCTGGAGCCGTAGCCATAACTGCTGCACAATGCCTCATTCAAATAGAATCGTAGACTTTTCTGACGTGGGTCATCCAAGAATAGAGGAAGCCCCAGTCGAGCTTTTGCCATCCCACTGCCCCTAACCCTCGTTCCCATTCGTAGTATGATCTTTAATCCAGTTCTTCACCCACTGCAGAATGCGCTCTGCGTTCTCATCGATGTCGTCTGCATTCACGCTTTTGAGTTCAACGACCCTCCCGTCTTCCTCCTCTCCCCATCCCTCCTTAGCCTCCTCGGTCACAACGCCAAAGATCTCGGCATCCATGTTCTCCTGCACTTTGGAATCTTTGTAGCCTCGCGCCATGAGGCGGTCATAGAGAACACTCGTCTCTTCACACCTCAGCACGACCACGAGGTCGACCCAGCGCACGGCGAACCCAGCGGTGGAATGCCAGTCAATGACCCAACCGCCTTCGCCTTCCCCATCGGAGATGTCTTTCTCCACCTCGTCCATGAGTTTGTCATCGTCCACGATCAGGGTCTGCAGATCTTCATCGTAGCCGGAGTGGCAGGAGCGAGACTTGACGAGGTCGTTGATCGAGAGGTGCTTGAGGTTAATCGCGGGCGTGGAGGACGAGGCTAGACTGAGGAGTTGTGTGCATGTGGTGGTCTTGCCGACGCCGGGAGTGCCTGTTATGATGATGTTGGGAAGAGTGCGCATTTTGTGGCACTTTCGACCAGAATGCAGAGTCGGAGTAGGGGACAGGTAGAGAGGTCAGGGCGTCAGGCCAGGGTTTTCTTGCGTTCAGAATACTTTGTCAACCTGTGCCGCAAAAAAAATATTTATTCAATACATAATAAGAAAATGCGGGCGACGAGTAATAGCGCTGGTGGTGCGGGAGGCGGATGGGGTCGAAGGGTCTTTCCGCACCAAGCGCACCCAACCAGCAACACAGCGAAGGCCTTCATAGCTACCGAGCAATAGCCCGTTCCATTCCTCTACATACCTCCACAGACTGCCACGATACATACCGAGTACAATTCTGGACGTGAGCGAACTCTACCACGCGCCACATCCCTTCTGACGCAAACCAACCTCCAATCGTTCTGGAACTGGCACTCAATCAGTCGATTGCGGGTAAGGGACACTCATTCTGGGCGTCTCATGTAGCTATGAAGTACTCATTCGAGTCTGCCATAGTCCACCTCCACAAGCCTTTTTAGAGTCCTTACTAGCCGCGATTCACTCCGTCGCCGTCACCGACCAGCTCAAAGTCAACGAGGTTGAACAGACTGGGGTCGATGACAAAGTCATTGACGGCAGCCTCGAGAGAACCCCAACCACCGCCATGTGCATTGTCCAAGCCCCCATGCTTGGAACCATATTGTACAGGTGACGTCTGCACGTCGTCCATAAAGACACCAGCAAGCAGGGGACAGCCTTCCACGATGCGAGCCAGGGTCCTCCTCATCCTGCCGGTGATATGAAAATGCGGCTGAAGGTCTTTCAGCATCTCATCCAGCAATCGAAGCCACCGAAGGTCGTTCTCGTCTATGGAAGAGTGCTCGGCCCCCAAGATGTTGGAGATTAAGACGGTCGCCGCCACGTACAGATTGTCCAGCATCACAGAAGGCGTCTTTTCCACCCCGAAAATCTGTCCGTAGGTGATACCCAGCTGGGCAATCTTCAGCGCGTTGTGATGCACAAGCTGCCTGGAAGACTCAGCGGTCCAATTGCGAAGGACTGGGGGTTGGTCCTTGCCGTCGCTTTGTTTGCGCTTCCGGTGGCTTGAGATGGGAAGAGAATGCAACAGCATCTGCACCCTTAGATACTGCATATGGAGACCATACGCCACGGCGTCAAGAGCAGAGACGTTGTCATAATCAAGGGTAATGTCTGCGGGCACTGACGAATACCACCGGCGCAACCTGCCATCGAGTTCTGACAGTCGATTCAGAGTGCCTGCCTGTATAAGCGAATCCTTGTCGAGGATTGTCGTAATCTCGGCAATCAATACACACAGGTCAAACCACGCCCTCAAAGTCAGATTGTCAGATACATGGTCAGCATACGAGGACAAAGACGGGCCCAGCATGGCTATGTGGCTTGGACGTCCCAAGTACATGCTCCAGAGGGTCTCGTAGACGAAGCAGCCCAACGTCACAGAGCCGCGGAACCTTGCTCCATGGATGTTCGAGGCATCTTGGTCACTGCTCTTGCTCCAAGCATGGTGCAGACCCAGGTCAACCACGAGCCGACAGGCAATACCTAATACTTTGATTAGGGTGGCTGGCACACGATGATGAGGGAAAGGAGACCTCACCACAATACATCCAGCCAACTCGGTCGCGTCCTTCAGTCATCTCGTAGTCACTGAGGAGCAGCATACCCTGCAGCGTCGCCACATTTGGATCTTCCAACTCTGACACGATTTCCGACTTTGCACGCATCGCATAGCTGGATCCCAACGCGCGGACCGCAACCGAAGTACTCAAGCGCGCGCTGCACGCCATCATGGAGTTTTCCAGAAACCGAGAGTAATGCTGGGATCGCAAGCCTCGCGCTCGGTGGGACAAAAAGAGCTCGGGGTGAATGATGGTGACTGAAAGGGTCTGGAAATTGCAGTAGTTGTTGAACAGGAGGGTTTTCAGGCGATCCGAGTCCATGTCAATCTGGGTCCCTAGAGCATGGATACCCGACACACTTTTCACCACATCAGAAGGCGACGACACATGGAGCTGGCATGACGGGCCAAAGTATATGCCGGATTCCTCGGAAACTTCGCCCTCGCCATTGACTTCATGGTGAACTCGAGGCGTGTGGCTTCGCCGTTGACTTTCGTTGTCGGCGAGACCCGGTTGCCTTGACAAGTCAGCACTTCATACAGCTTTGGGAGGCAATGCAAACAAGGTATAAAGAGCGACGCACTCAGCAGAAGACTGTTGACCTTGATTGGCTCGAGGGGACTCAGGATTGTTTGTGCTTGGCTGCACGACTGCCGATGAGGCTCGGTGAGCGGCGATCAGAGTCGCGTCTTGTGGCCCCCGTATATCGTCAAGGCTGGGTCTGGTGGTTGCAGCTGCAGCTGCCGGTGATTTCAACAGTGGCGCACTCTCTCCCTGACTACTGCCAAGCGATGTATTGCCATCGGGAACGATCTGGCGGATCAGAACGTCCAGCGATCGGATCTGCTCCTGAAGTGCAGCAATGTGCTCGCGAGAACCGTGCCTGAGAATCAAGTGTCAGCTTATCGAGCTCAGCCATGCCAGAATCCACTAACACACTTTCTACGATCCGAGAACTGGCTGACGCGACAGTCAATGTCGGAAATGCGGCATGCGCTACACGTAGACCCGGTAGGAAGGCGCTGAATATCACACTAGGTTGAAGATGAGTTTGTATTCTCCAAACAGGAAGCTATTCCTCACTAACTCGAATCTTGCGCTGGCGACAGCTGTGGCAAGCTAGCGAAGCGCGAGGCCGCGCTGAGGGAGATATCTTCTGTCGCTTGGTGCTTGGTGCGTCCTCGTCTGGCAGAGCTGACGCTGCTCGTCGCGACGCAAGGACCTCGTCTGACTGCATCTGATACCGAACAGATATTGGAAGAGCCGTGAGAACTTGGTCAGGGCAAGGAGTGTTCACAGACAGCGCGAAACATGATATATCCCGTCGGAGAGTCCCCAATTGACCGGCCTAGATTCTTGGCTGTTGGGCTAGATACTCCCTGAGCCTGCTCCACAAGATCTCTCGCTTCAGATGCTTCGGGACGAGGGGGTCGAAGCGGAGACAGAGAAAAGCACCGCAGACAGGCGACAGTGTACGACGGTTTCACCTCCAACGGCTGGAACATGACATACTCGGCATACCAAATCCGTAAAGAGGCCAAGAAGCATGTTCCCGAGGCTGAGGGTGAATTTGGGACGGCACACGGCGAGCATTTTCCACGGAAAACCCCAGAGTTGGAGTCAAAAGTCAAGAGTCTGGGGTCCCCGCAGTCTTGCTGTACCGCGAGTACTACGGGTGTCCGCACATGGATATACTTGTGGGTGACATGCTTGAGACCCAGGCTGGCTTCAGCATCACGCTGTTGATGTTGGATGTTGGGAGACAGACGACCTTTCCAGCAATTGGAGTATCCAAGATGGATCATCAAAGATACCAGTCGCGACGTCTGCTTGACCTGGGGGTCAACAACCCAGTGTGACTTGTTATATACTTCTTTGGCGACCGGGTTCGGGAGATCGAACATGCCCCTTTCGTCCTCTTCGCCTCGAGAAGCGACATATCCACACGACTGGGTCGATCGCATGGCAAAGTTATTGCTTCTCCATGCTATCATTCCGAAGAACCGCGGAGGTCAGAGAGCCGGGCGGGGAAGAGAACTCGAGAGACTGAGCGCCAAACGGGCCTTGACACCCGAAGTCAGATTGGAACGAAAGCAGAGTGCCGACAGTGGGGAGTATATACTATTCACCTCAGCTCGATCCAAGGGCAGTCTGTCTCATCGTTTCGTGCAAGACTTCTACAACAATTCCACCCAAATTATAGCCCCATTGTCCAGCCAATATGCCTAGTGTCACCAGGCTGCAGATTACACCCCTTGCTGAAACCTTTGCCGCTGAAGTCGAAGGCATTGACTTCTCCAAGCCAATCGATGATGCCCTGTTCGAAGAACTTAGAGATACTGTCCACAAGTACGGCGTCGTCGTCCTTCGCAAGACTGCGTTAGACGACGACTCGGCCATTGCCCTTGGCCGACGATTCGGGGAACTGGATAGCGTCAGGGCTCATCGGCTGGCGGGCAGGGCCATGAGGATCCCCAACGACGAGATCTTCGACGTGGGTAACCTGGACGACAAGAACGAGGTCGTGACGGTCAAAGACCCCAACCGCACCGCGTCTGCCAACGGTAATGCGCTATGGCATGCTGATGGAGCCTTCAACCCTCGTCGCACCGGTGTTTCCATCCTGCGAGGCGTCGAACTTCCCCCGAAAGGCACTGGGGGCCATACCGAGTACTTGGACACCCGGACAGCGTACGACGATCTCCCAGAGGAGAAGAAAAAGGAGATTGAGGGCCTCGTAGGCTGCAACTCGCTGTTCCACAACCGAAAGACGGCCAATCCGGACTCGCCCCTTTTCCTCCATATCAACCCGATGGACCACCCTCTGGCGAAGCACAAGATTGCCCAGCTACACGAGCAGTCTGGTCGAATGAATCTCTACGTCACGTCTTACACCCATCATATCGACGGGATGGATCTGGAGAAGGGCCAAAAATTACTCAAAGAGTTATTTGAGCATGTCCAGCAAGACAAGTACAAGTTTGTGCATCATTGGCAGGACAACAACGACGTTGCCATCTGGGACAACTGTGCCGTGTTGCATAGAGCAACCCACGGGGAGTACGAGGGGAAATATAGGCGGGACATGCGACGGGTTTCGGTCTTTGATACCGGGTCCACGGCTTACGGGGAGAATGATGTTTCGACGTACTGGCAACAAGGTCTCCCATAGAGGTACCCCAGGAGACACGATGTAATGGATAAATCTGTAGGCTATGGCCATTGCACTGTTGCATTCACCTGTCGAGTTGGTCCCCGTGTATCCCTTTGAAAATCACAGCGGGTGGAAGCATATCATATTATCAGAGTCAGTAACCGACAACCCACAGGCGACTCAGGCGACTGCAGGAGATTGAATCCCGACCACTCAGTCAATCAAGATACAAACATACAAAATGGTACGGATATCACGGCCCGAGAGCTTCTTTGCTTCTCCGATTCCATCGCCATCCAACCTCCCTGGAACGTGGACTACATACATGTACTTGGTGGTTACCGACAACCGAGGGTCGGTTCCCCAGGTTACTGTAATTCTCCCCAGATTTACCAACAACCTCATCCAGGGAACCCCTCTTGGCCACGATACCGAACATACTGACTGTCCGATTGCCATTCCCCCAATCCACTCCTCCCCAGCAAAAGAAGAGTCCTTGTGTGGATTCCTTACGTGGATCGTTCAAAGGGCTGACAAGGTTCAGCTCACGTTTGACTGAAGACAAAGTCAACATTCAAGACAGGTCAATCGTCATGTTCAAATCACAGCCGGCCCATACGCCTGGCGAAGGGGGCATCGCTCGCTTCCGAGACCAGCATAAACGGCTGGGCCGGGCATTGCTGGGCACGGTGCTGACGGTCCAGAGTCCCATCGTCGCCATGCTCGCAGCGCAGACGTTTGACTTTGTCATGATCGACATGGAGCACGCGCCCATGTCGGCGGAGCAGATGACCTACATGGTGCACAGCGTGGTGGCCGCGTCCAAGGGCAACTGCTTGGCCATTGTGCGCGTGCCGTCCCACGACGTCGAATGGGTCAAGTGGGCACTGGACAGCGGCGCGGCGGGCATCATCATCCCGATGGTCAACAACGCGGCCGAGATGGAGCGCATCATCTCGCACGCCATCTACCCGCCGAGGGGCAAACGGAGCTTCGGTCCCTTCAACGCCCCCTTTGGCCGACAGCTCCACGGCACGCAGTTCGGCACCTACTACGACATGGCGCAGGACGACGGGGTCGCCATCCTCCCCATCATCGAGTCCGCCGAGGGCATCCAGAACGCCGACGCCATCCTCGCCGTGCCCGGCGTGTCCGGCACCTTCATCGGCCCCTACGACCTTCGTCTGTCCCTCGGGCTGCCGGGCGGCGTGGACGGGCCCGAGCCCGAGTTCACCCAGGCCCTGTCGGGAGTGCTCGCCGCGGCCCAGAAGCACGGCAAGGTCGTCGGCTCCATGGCGACGACTCCAGAGATGATAGCGACCCGCGCGGGCTTGGGCATGACTTTCCTCCTGGCGACGCTGGACTATAGCGTTTTGGTCGCGGGTTTCACCGAGGCGGCGGAACAGGGCAAGGAGGCGTTGAAGAAGGTCGGGCAAGCCCCAGCCGGTCAGTGAGGGTCGAGCGAGGATCCTGGAGAGCCTCACGGCACGTTTATCAGTCGTGCGTGGGATACCAGGTTGTCGTTCGTATGGGGCTGCTTTAGAGGTATATAATATATTATATACAACCCACGTAACTCTCGCGACACTGGTGTGTGATAGCAAGAAAAGCCACATGACAACCATCGAGCCTTTGATTCAGATATTCCTGAGCTGCCGGTAGTAACACATGTATCGTACTGGTTGTTTCTGCTTCAATGCTGTTAATACGGAGTACTCCCTTTCCCAAGGTGGCATATACTTGTGGATACCGGGTATTGCCCCTTTTGGCCCCTTTGTGGAGCCAATAGCTATTAATTACCGTACCTCGTACCCAGTAAATCCTTACAAAGGGCAAACAAATACAACCAAAAAACACAAAAACACATTTTCACAATGATAATGGTTTTGTTTCTTCTCAGTATATTCATTTTTCTATGTGATATCCAGTCCAATTTACCAAATATCGTGATGGTCGACGGGACCTTTTCTATTCGTCAAGTCATAAACGATGTTTGAGAGTGACAATTCTCCCGTCCCCAGACTCGACTCAACTCGCCAACCTCAGCGGACCTCCCCTTCCCGTATGGTCGTAGTAGTGAAGCTGGTTGACGTAGACGTTCACGGGTCCGCCACGCTCAAGCTGCCCGGCCACGGTCATCATGTCGCGGTTGTTCCGCACCACCATGTCTCCACTCCCGCCCAGGTTTCGATCGTGTTGTCGCTGCCTATGGAAGTGGTGTTTGGTGCAGATCCACAGTCCGATCGCGGCGAGGGCGGCGACCACGCCCGCAACGGCCCCGATGATGGTCCCGATGTTGTTGCCACCACCGCCTGAGCCGCTGCCCTGGCTGGAGGACGAGTCATCGCCGTTGGTGCCGTTGCCCCCGCCGCTTCCCCCCGAGGGACTTGCAGTGGGATCGGAAAAAGCTGCGTTGAGGTACTGCGTCGAAGGTTCGCCGTGGCCAGTGACGGTTGGGATGGCCAGGATCGTAACCGCCTCGGCGGACAGTGTGGCGCACTCCCAGTGCGTGTAGTAGTAGTCGCTCCAATACAGGGAGATGGTCGCACAGTACGGTGCGTCCGAGTCACTGCCACAGGGTTCCCCGTCAGTGTCTTGCATCCTCACTTTGAAGTAAGGGACAGTGTCTTGCACCAAAGAAAGAAAGAAAGAAGAGGGAAAAGCCTTAACCAGGAAATGGCCCCGACTGTGGGCGTTGGACCCTGCGCTTCTGCTTCCACACATGTCGTCGGCAGGATGGTGTTGATGCCGCTTGTACATCCAAAGACACCTGGAGACTCCCATTCCACACAGCCGAACCCCGATTGACAGGCGACGGGTGAGTCTGGAGAGGGTTGATCAGCTGACAGGGCAAAATGACCCGTGAGGATCAAGGCGCCTCAGAGGAAAATCACTCACTCAAATCCCCATTCTTGTAACCACACAGGGCCGTCATGGCTGCGACTGGAACACGATCGATCCACAAGAAAAATCGAGGGGGCCTCAGGGGTTAATACAGAGTTTGTCTAGATGGATTGATCACCTCTTGAGATCTTCTTTTCCCCGCGATGGGGAGTTTATCATCTATCAGGCAGTTTTCGGGGCGCAGGGCCAGATACACCGCCCAACAGAGAAGGAGACCAGGTGCTTGACACGCGAGTGCCCTAGACAAGCGGTTGACAAGTGCCTCTGACCCGTGTATGGCTGCGTGGCAAGTCCCGCGCGTCCTCGATGAAACCCGGATGGCGAAGCGCTGAAAACCTGCGCCCGACTTCTTTTGACCACCTCCCTCATGTTTCCAAATAATCCGGAGCTCCAGGCGGTGTTTGAGCTTGTGGCGCGCCGCTCTTCGGCTGTCGCGGTGTGAAGAAGATAAGAGGGCTTGGGGGGGGGGGGAGAAAAAGCCATTTGCAGCCCTGGTCGATCATCGGCTGAGCCCTGAGCGCCTCATTTCTCAACCCTTTGTCTTATTGCAGGTAAACGACCCAATCCAAGCTTTGGGAAAGAGTCCCTTCCGCATTCCACCCGAGCACAAGCACGACAAGGCGTGCGTGGGAAGGTGGGAGCTGGAGCTGGGCTGGCCCATCAATGTCAGGCTGAGGCTCCGAGTTTGGTCGATCCCCAAGCTGATGAGGAGCGTGGAAAAAAGAAGTAATGAGATCCGAATTTCGAGATCGAGCCTGGATCAGGCCTCGAAACAAAGTCTGAGGCCCAGCTTTGATCTTCGTTCTCCTGGAGTAATGAACCAACCAGCCTGGGGGCGCGACTTGGGGCCAATAGAGGATTCAAATTCACCAGACAAGCATTGGTTATTGGTGACGGGCTTGCATGTCTGTTTGCCTCGATTGACCGCCAACGGCACTAGTCGTGATGGCACCGTTGCAAGTCGTAGCGTCCACAAACCCGTGGATTCAGCCTGATCAGCAAACTTGACCCTCATTCTTCTCCAGTGCATCACGCATGGCACTGTCGATGGCGTCCATGGGGTATCGACTCTACACGGAATTCGTACGGATGCCTAATCTAGGCTCGATTGATCTGTCACCCTTGGATTTCATGAGGAATGGGGAGGAGTTTGCCGGCCTCGCTTGCAGACGGGTCACCCAAATCTCTCATGGTACTGCACTCGGGAAAGGCGATAGGCAAACCGGGACAGGAACCACCTCGCTAAGCCCCTTGCCGATACATGAGACACGGCTGAAGGGAGTTGTGAGCAAACAATCCAGCTGAGCCAGTCTTGGTGTACCGAATACATCAGGCTGGGACCACCTCCTCCAACACCAATATTGTTCCTTATTACGGTTTACAGCATCCGACCCTGACCCTGACCATGACCCCGAAACTGCTTCGAGACAAGTCACATCCATCATGCTTGCACCGGCATGACAGCCCACCAACTAGGCGATTACTAACCGCCCAACCGCTTACTTCCGACCCCCAAGTCAACGAGTTTCGGGTTTGTCATTTGGATGCTGATGATCACTGAAGGCAAGCCGGTGACTTTCTTCTACCTGTCCAATCCACAAGCCCAATGCCGGATCCAGAAGGAGGTGGGTTGAGGGATGCCGCATGCCGAAGTTCAGAGATCGGTTCAACAGGTGCACCAGTCGAGTGTCATTCCACCCTCGACGATGCGTCGGCTCGTTCGTTCGCTCGTTCTCTGGGGTACCAAGACGACATGCATCTTCATTCGCTCGGGCATCCTCCATCGATCCTTCGGCGAAGCTTCGCTCTCGCGAAGAACTTAACTCGTCAAGAGATTGCCCGCAATCGCTCTAGAACCACAATGGCGCTGCAGAATCGATCCCTCTCTGGAGGGTGGAGGATCTGCTACTGGCGGAGAAGCGGCCGCGGTGTGTCTCGATCGTGCGTATAAGCTTCAACGAACGGGACGAAACACACCAAGATTTCTCGACATCATCTCCGACCTCATACAGACAGACGTTGAGTTGGGATCACAAAGTATTCCCGTCAGGCCATGCCCATTCACTTGTCATACATCCCCTATGTCCCCGACAAAAGTCGGTCGCGGAACGACTATGAGCTCCTTCGGTCCAAAGCACGCTCACACGCAGCCAAGTTCAGGCATCGAAACAATGCTAACACGATTGTCTTGAACAAGCATTGCTGGTCTACACCGACATATCCGCATTGTCTCGGACACCGGGGCACCGAAACGGCTCCCAGCAAGCAGAATGGATGGGCTCCATCGTACGACGGAGAAAACCTATGTTCCCACTCGCCTCGAATCCGGATTGAGCAGCTGTTGGCGGAAGAGGAGCAGGATACCAAGACAATGAGCATTGGACGACTTGTGGCCCCAGACAACGACACCAACCGGTACAAGACCGAGCCTGAAGGGCGTGGGATGGACTCAATGGCTCGACATGGCAAGTCTGAGAAGGAATTGATGTCGCCAGGCCCGTGGCATTGGACAAGGGGGGCACGAGTTGACCCATTCGATTGTATTCCTGGATATGATCGTTATGGTGCCTCGCTCGCCATCGACTTCCGTAAGTGTCTGGAACTTCTGTCTCAAACATCCGGTCTCTAACGTGAGTCCAGTTATACACTATGTCATGCCAACGGGTGGGTTGTCCCCTTTTGAGGAGAAGCTATATTGACATGGCAGAACCTCTATGCGTGTGAGATGAGCTCAGACAAAGGCTGATGGGTGACTGCAGTGGCGTCAATCAACGAAGCCTTCAACGTCGTCAATGTCTATGGGCAGTGGGTCCTCGAGAATATGGCCAAATACGAGGACTTCTTCCACGTCATACTCGGCCTGACCAAAGTGGCTCACACCGCCATCGCGTGTCCCGGATCTCTCTTGCCACAAGATGCCTTTGTCCATGCGGGACAGGCCATGTCCAAGCTGAGGGCCAGGCTGGCGAAACCCAACGCCCGGGCCGACGACGGTGCCATTCTGACGATCCTGTACCTGGCCATGTTTGAGCGAGGGCTTGGAAACGACGCGGCCTTCAAGGCCCATCGCGCCCAGGTCGACCAAATGGTGGCGTCGCGAGGCGGCGTCGACTGCCTGGGGGTGGACAGTTCGGCTCGGGCGACCTTGACAGTGTAAGCGCCTGTGCTATCTCGGTGTTCAGAGAGATGGCCGTCTCTCCACCGTGATAGACATTGCCGGGTTGCACCTCTGACACTGATTTTCTCGACAGACTTCTCTCCCTCTCCGGCGACCAGCCGACCGACTCGCCAACGCCAACGAGCGAACCTGCCACGGAGAAGTTGTTGGTGATACGACAAGCGCCCCGTTTCCGGTTCGAGGACGACGTCAAGATCATCGACAAGCTGCCGTGCGGGTTCCGCAACCTCGCCCGGGCGGGGGTCCTCTCGTCCGAGACGCTCCAGATCATCCACAGGATCAGCGTCAAGCAGGACTGGAGCCCGCAGGACGCGACGTACCGGGAAAAGCAAGGGAAGGAGCGCACAAAGGTCTACCGCCCCGTGGCGGGCCAGGCGTGGAACTTCTGGGACGCGTGCACGGCGTTCCGCATGCCGGACGGGCCCGGGGGTCCGTCGCTGGAGAAGATGATCTGCCTCGCCCTATTCCGCTACTGCGCCAACCGGGCCAACCGGCTCCGGCCCAAGGCGTGCATCTACCACTCGGCCACGACGCAGCTGACGGCCCGGCTGCCCGCGTTCAGGGTCTCCAGCGCCCGCACCGAGCGCGACTGCCTGATCTGGATCTGGCTCGTCGCCATCGACTCGTGGGCCATGGCCCAGAACTCGCCCGAGCTGTCGGCCGACGGCGCCCGGCTGCTGGCCAAGATGCGCGACGCCCTGCCGGAGCTGCGCGACTGGGCCTGGTGGGACCTCGAGTGCCTGGGCCAGAAGTTCTTTTGGCGCGACGACCTGCGGGTGCTGTTGCGCGCGAACTGGGACGCACCCGGTCCGGGAGAAGAAGAGTACTAAACCACCACCACCATCACCACCATTTGGCTATTCTGGGTACCTCCACGTAACCCTTTCTCCTGAAATTCCTGTTGTCTGGAACTGCGGGCGGGCCAAGGGAAAGAGGGGGTATTGAATCATTTGTGCATTTTGGTAAACAAAACAATTTAAAGCTCGTGCTTGAATATGTTTATCTCTGCGAGAGTGTCAATAACATGGGGGCTCGCGCGAATGTTACAATCCCCACTCCTGGAATGGAGATCGATTATACATGCTGGCTGGTAGGCACGGTAGGCAGGTAGTACGAGGAGACATTGATACGGGGAATTGGCGTCGATCAAGTGGATTCCCCATCGCCCCCTTCACGCGGATGGGAATAACAGTGGAGACCAAACCACATAGTATCCACTAGTATAAAATACAGCTATGATTATTGGCTGATATACCTAGTGAGGTGGCAGATCTCTGACTACTAACTGGGCAATCACATTACGTTGTACCTCTTACAAACATATGTACGTGTACCTGGGTGATATCGGATCAATGTGTCACGTACCAGTGGGTCAAAGACAGTCACGATAATAACGACAATGGGAAGGGTACAAAAAAGGACCGAGACATCGAGTCTGATTTCTTTGCCTCTTACTGCTCCACCCCGACATTAACATTGACCATAGTCAGAGAGAGGGGGAGAGAGAGAGAGATACAGA